CACTTTTGCTTAAGCACACATTTTTCTTCAGCAATCATGTCGGGAAGGTGTGTATCCTGGAATGCCAATTTAATAGAACGACGTGTTCTTGCATTAAGTATGTACTTGTGTGGAGGCCCAATGTCCTTCTGCTACCTTAATACTAAACCTATAAATATATGCACGTAGATCTGTTTCCCCACACTCTTACATAGATATATTTACATTCTAGTCTTTAGACCTCTATAAATACCCTTTGTCCCCTAATTCTTTCCTCTATTTCCTTTTACTTTCCTCTTGTCCCACTATCATGCTCAGCCTTCATTTGGGTTTCAGTAATTTCTCTTGGTTACAATGCCCTTGCTGAATACCAGGCCTCTCACACCCTCCTTGCTACTGATTTTGGATCACTTGTTGCTCCCCTGTCCCTGGGTTGGTCAGCACCACCTCCTTGCCCCTGCCTCCCCCTCTCCCATGTCCCCCCAGAGCCATTGGTCCCGTTGTTTTCTCCTCCAGACTATTCATCCAGTCTATCTTATCTAGATAGAGCTGTAGAGATAATAATATGCATCAAAAACCAAGCCATAGCAAGATAGGTGATCCATGAGAACACAGCGATGACAACAAAAAAGGAAACTAATTACCCACAGAAGAATAAATTAATTAAAAGAAAAAAAAATTTAAAGAAAAACCTGTAAATAGATCAAGGTCTGATTTTCGATCTCTAGGCATGTCCTTCAGTCAGGACCGATGGGGTACCATGCTCTGGCCCCCGAGTCTGTTCTTTGTACTCCCTCGGGGGCTCTCTGCTCTGCTCCCACGGTTGCTCTGCTGCGCACTTTTAGTGGTTTGCCTCGGTGTCGCGGGGTCAGCCCGGGCCAGTCCCGACATGAGTCTCCAGTGTTGTCCCCTTAGGGCCCTGGGCCATCAAGGGACGGTCATCACAGTGCCCTTAAAGCAACATCTTACCCTGCTGCCTTTCTTGTTGTGTGCCTCCTTCCTTACAAACCTTTTTTGAGCTCCACCCTGGGGTCAAGGCCACACTTTGGATATCAGTGGTTGACGATTCGAAAGAGTGTGTATCTCCCTAGTGTTACTGATCCTTGTGCAGACCTGTCTGTTGTCTGGCTGAAAATTGAAAAACGGGGTGAGTTCTGTTTCAGATCTAACGGGTGACTGAGGGTCATCGTCTCGGGGGTCCCATCAGTTTCTCTCTGTCAAATAAGCCTGGTCCTGGTGGCAGTGTGGTTGCTCATTGAGCTGTGATCTGCAAGGCCTGGAGAAAGACCATGATTTAATACCATTGAGAGTTACAGTCTCGGACACTCACAGGGGCAATTCTGCCCCAGCCCATAGGGTGACGATGGTTGCATCAACCTAATGGCAGTGAGTTTGGTTTCCTTATAAGTTTGAGTTTTGTTCTACCTTCTCCCATTATCCAGAACCTTCTCCTGTGTTCCCTCTTAGAGCTCAGTGCTGGCTCGTAATGTTTATTGGGGGTAGGAGGAAGAAGGGTCGTGACTTTGGAGTCAGACCTACCAAGAGTTGAACCCCAGCACTACCCATCTCCCAGCTCTGGGCCTCAGTTGAGCACCTTTCCTTCCTTGGGGCTTCGGCCTCTCTGCCGGGGAGGTTTGCAGGGAGCTGACCCAGTGAGATCGAGTGCAGACAGGGCCTGGCTTCCCGTGTTGGATGGCGAGGAAGACTTCGGAAAACACCCTTGTCTCTAGTGGGCTGGACTAGTGATGGGAGAAGCATACAACCGAATACAATTTGAAAAGTCATGGGAAACACGGAAGTCAATCTGTGTGTTGATGTGGGAAGAAATCTGAGGTCCAGGGCTTGTTTAAGTTTTTATTGTGAATTAGGTCAAGGTTGGCAGAGCTGAGCATCCATGTTACATTCAACGGTTCATACCTATTTTAATCTTAAACTGTCTGTGGCTGACCTCATCAGGGAGCATCCCAAATCCCACTTCCTCCCTGTGTTTCTGGTTTCCATTCCTCCTCTTCTCCTAACCTCTGAACTTTGCCCTGGGGTCCATGCCACCCTTGGCTCTGCGATGGGTGATGATTTTAACACAGGCATGAGTGCAGTTCTAGGCCTGATGGGTGGGGAGGGCCATGGTCTTGGATCCCACCAGTCTCCTCTTTGTCTTCTTAAGAGAGCGGGGCCAGGCCAGGGCAATCTCAGAGACTTGTCATCCAGATGAGAGAGACCATCAGCTCGAGGTCATAAATGGGTGCAAGGGTTTGCAGGGAATACAGAGCTTTACAGAGGACATGGGAGATCAGAGAAAACGGTCACACCAACATGGTTGGCGGTGGATCAGCATAATGCAGTGTGACCAGTGGGATCTCAGGAACCTCTCACTAGGACCTGTGAGCTCAGTACAGCAGAGGAGCACCCAGTATTGATAGAGGGCTTCCCTGAGCCTTTCAGGGTAAACCTCAGCACCATGGGGCCCCGGGGCCCTGTATGATGATCTTCATTGAGAACATGCCCAGGGAAGCCCCTAGGGGAGACTGCCCTCCCTGAGTCCCTGTTCTGTGCCCAGTGCTCTGCTCAGTGGCAGGGGTGCCCTGGAAGAGCCTCTAGGGTCCCAAAGGAGAAAAACAAAAACAAAACCCACTGCCATCGAGTCAATTCTGACTCATCGCCACCTGTAGGACAGAGTGGAACTGCCTCTGTGGGTTTCTGAGCCTGTCACTCTACGGAAATAGAAAGCCTCATCTTTCTCCCTACGAGCAGCTGGTGGCTTTGAAGTGCTGGCCATCTTTCAAGGGGGTCTTGTAGGGAAATAGTTACTGTATATACTCGTGGATAAGCAAGTTTTTCAGCACATTTTTAATGCAGTTTTTGGTAAAATTAGGTGCCTTGGCTGATATTCGGGTCAGCTTATACTCGAGTGTATCCGGTGCCTCTCTTCACCGGCTACATCCGTCAGAGCGCCCCACTCCAGGCCCTAAGGCAGGGACTTCTGGCAGGAATGCTTGCTTTTGCACAGTGGTCTATGGGTCAGCAGGCAGCTCTCCTCTGAATGGGGCCAGCAAACTGGCTTGTGGATCTTGGTTGACCTCTCGAGTCTGGGTGAATTAGCTCTGCCCCAGGGGTCTCATCCTCCCATAGGTTGATTTGGGCCTCTTCTCAGGGTGATAACCAAAAGAACCCCATTCCGACTCACAGAACCCCTGCATTGGGTCTCCGAAACTGCGGCGCTTTAGGGGAGCAGTCAGCCTCGTCTCTCACTGGGGGTGGGTGCGGGTGGGTGGGGGAGGGTATCAGTGGGGCTTTGAACCACTGACCTTGTGGTAAGCAACCCAGCACCTAACCCATTGCTCCCTCAGGGCTCCTTTCTCGAATATGAAGGAAGACGATAATTGTTTGGGGCAGGCTGGCTGCCACCCCTCTGGCTGAAGCCAGCCCCAGGAGGGCAGCGACTGTACTTTTAGAGGGCAACAGGACCATCAAGGCCAGGTGACCCCCAAAACCATTGCTCTGAGAGAAGCCTTAAGCTAAATGTGTACCCTGAAATCATCTCAAAACAAAGCAAATCTTCCTGAACTGGTGAGATAGGTGCCTTGAAGATGTGCTGTCTGAAGATGCTCCGTGTTGGAATCGACAAGATGAGGCACTGGGTTTGGTGTTAGGCTCCAAGGAGCTGTGGTGGCTCAGGGGGGTAAGCATCGGACTGTTAACTCACCACCTGGCTCGTCGTTCAAACCCACGGCTCTGTCTGTCCTATCAGAATGAGTCAGAATTGTCTTGATGGCAGTGAGTTTGGTTTGGCTATTGATTTATTGAATGATTGCTTGGTTGATTGATTGAATATAGGACCAAATTGATTCCCAGAAAACCTCACTGCCATCGAGTCAATTCTGACTCATGATGAGCCCTTTAGGACAGGGTAGAACTGCCCCTGTGTGTTTCCATGACTGTTACTCTTTACAGGAGTAGACAGCCTCACCTTTTCCCCATGGAGCTGCTGATAGTTCCGAACTGTTGACCTTTCGGTTTACAGCCCAATGCAGAACCACTACCCAATCAGGGCTCCAAATATGCTACAGCAGCTGGAAAGGTCAGGTGGAAGCGTGGGGGACAGAGGGTATATGTAAATGGGGAGGAACAACTCAGGCAACGAGGGTGAGGCCAGTAGAGGAACTGAAGAAAGTGAGGGGTGTCATTACCCCTATGTGTAGACAGAGTTCAATTCACGTGTGTTCCTGAGTGTGTCTTTCTCACCGCAACAGAAATGAAACTCACGATTTAAATTAAACAGTTACAGAACAAGAGGAATGGATGGGGCAATAACTACCCATAGCCTTCCAGTCACTTCTGCTCCTAGTGGCCCTCGGAGGAGCCCTGGTGCCCTAGTGGGTATGCGTTAAGCTGCTGACTGCACCAGCTGCTGCACAGGAGAGGGATGTAGCTTTCTACTCCTGTGAGGACTGATAGTCTCAGACACCCACAGGGCAGTTCTATTCTGTCCTATAGGGTCCCGGGGAGTCGGAATCCATCCCATGGCAGTGGGGAGAGTGGCGTGGTGAGTCACACAGTCAGCAGTACCAAACCACCAACCAATCCATGGGAGAAAGGGCTTTCCACTCCCGTAAAGAGTTGTAGTCTCCGAAACCTGCAGGGGCAGTTCTACCCTGTCATATGGGGTTGCTATGAGTCAGAATCCCCTAGAGCAGTGGTTCTCAACCTTCCTAATGCTGCGACCCTGTAACACAGTTCCTTGTGTTGTGGTGACCCCCAACCATACAATTATTTTCATTGCTACTTTATCACTGTAATTTTGCTGCTGTTATGAATCGTCATGTAAATATCTGATATGCAGGATGTATTTTCATTTTTACAAATTGAACATAATTAAAGCATAGCGATCAATCACAAAAACAATATGTAACTATATATTGTGAAATATTTATTTCTAATGACAAATCAATGAAGTTTTGTCTTGAAGCCTGGGTGACAGTAGGTGGGTGTATTTGCATGTAGGCGGACCCACCTGGAGACGGATAGAGGAGCGGTGTGTCAGTTCCTAAGACCATTGGAAATATGCATTTTCCGATGGTCTTAGGCGACCCCTGTAAAAGGGTAGTTCGACCCCCAAAGGGGTCTCCGCGACCCACAGGTTGAGAACTGCTGCCTTAGATGGCTGTGAGAGTTGAGAAAGAGGACAGAGTTGAACTGCCCCTGGGCTTTCTGGGACTGTAAATCTTCATGGGAGTAGACAGCCTCATCTTTCTCCCAAGGATCAGCAGGCGGGCTTTAACTGCTGGCCTTGTGGTTAGCAGTCCCAATGCTTAACCCATGTCACCACCAGGAGTCTCTGTGTGTGGAGTGGGGAAGAGGAAAGAGCTAGCTATTCATGCCACCACTCGCTTCTAGTTGAATGGGAACCTTCATGACAAGGGCAGAGTCCGTCTGGGTGAGGGTCTTCTGCAGGAGGGCTCTAGGCAGCAGAGAGCAAATTCCACCCTTTCATTTGACAGAGAGGAATCCGAGGCCCAGGGAGGTAACCTCCTGACTAATGCTGAGCATCGCCACTGGGGCGAGGCAGGACCCTGACCGCTCACTGTCCTGCTTGCTCTTGTTTCAGTCCTCCCAGAGCTGTAGTTCCGGCCGCCAGAATGTCCGTCTACAGAGTGACTCCAGCAGTAGCACACAGGTCAGCCAGCCTTCTCCTTCCCCCCTTCCTGTTGCCCTCCTTCCCCCACACCCTGTTGCCCTCCCTCCTATCAAATCCACTTTCTTTGTTTAAGCTCTCGCTACTAAATGACAAACCAAACCCACCACCTCGGGCCCATTCTGACTCATAGCCACCCCAAAGACCCCGTAGACTGGCTCCTGAGGGTTTCTGAGCTGTCACACAGCTGTCAGCTTCATCATTCTCCCATGGAGCAGCTGCGCAGTGTGAACCACAAACCTCACGCTCAACGACCCAACGTATTGGGGGAAAATCTATGTGTACAGGATGAGTACTTTCTCCTCCCATCCCAGTTTCCTAGCATCCCCTCTTACTTCTGGGTTCGTCTAGAGGAGGGCTGTGTCCAGTTTCTAGGGAAATCCCTCTGTGGTTTTATCCCAGTTTTCCATGAACTCGAAGCCCTAGTGGCACAGTGTTTCCTAGTTGGGCTGCTAACTGCAAGCTGGACAGGTCAAGCCACCAGCTGCTCCGTGGGAGAAATATGGGCCTTTCTATTCCTGTAAAGGTTTATAGTCTCAGAAACCACAGGAGTTGGAAGGACTGGAGAACAGTGAGCTTGTTTTTATATCCAGTATGCCATATGACCATATGTCAACCACTCCCTGTTGATGCAAATAGGGAATAACTGGGTGGCCCTAGTGGGCAATGCACTCGCTGCTAATGGAGAGATGCAGATTTGAATCCGCCACCAGTCCCCTCTGAAGAAACGAAACAAACTCATTGCCATGGAGCTGATTCTGACTTAGAGCGGCACTATAGGACAGGGTAGAACTGCCCCTGTGGGTTTCTGAGACAGTAACTCTACAGGAGTGGAAAGCTCCATCTTTCTGCCATGGAGTGACTGGTGGTTTCAAACTGCTCACCTTGGGGCCCAACTTGAAACCCCTACACCACCAAGGCCTTCCCAAACATCAGCCCTTCAAGACCCCATGGAGCGTGGTTCCATTCTGACACATGTGGTCAGAATCAACTTAGAGCCAGACTAGCGGTAGCAGCCACTCTGGGCCCTCTCTCTTTCTGCTCCTTGCCCTCAGGTGTTTGAGTCTGTGGATGAGGTGGAACAGGTGGAGGTGGAAGGCAGGTTGGAGGAGAAGCCAACCAAGATCCCGAATGGGAGCCTGGTGAACGGCAGGTGCTCCCCTGACTCCGGCCACCCCTCCTCCCACAACTTCTCCTCTGGCCTCTCGGAGCACTCGGAACCCAGCCTGAGCACGGAGGACAGCATCATGGATGCCCAGCGGAATGCCCCTGCAGCGCTCCGGCCCGGGGACAGCAGCATGGACAATGAACAGAGCAGCGAGGCCACCACCTCCCGTGACGAGGTCTCCCGGGAGGCGCTGGCCGTGCAGGACAGCCTGGACTGCGACCTTTTGGCCAACGAGAGCATGGACGAGTTCATGTCCATTACTGGTAGCATGGACGTGGCCTTGCCTGACAGGGAGGCCATGGAGATGGAGGGCTGGGAGCGCAGTGAGGCCCAGCAGTGCAGCCAGGCGGAGGACAGTGAGGACAACCTCTCTGAGGAGCCTGGCATGGAGAACCTCTTCCCGGCCCTGGCCTCACTGGCCGTGGTCCCGTCAGCCACCCACGAGACGTCCCCTGTGTCATCCAGCGGTGTCACCTACTCTGTAAGTCAGGGCTGCGTGCACTGTGGGGTCCAGCCTCACTCTGGAATGGAGATGACCACACCATTGTAGAAATAAAGGAGACCGAAAGAACAGGGCACCAGGGACTGATAGAGAGTATCATCAGGAGAAGAGTGTGAGTTTATTCAGCAATCGGGTCACACGGTAACAAGTCCCGCGAGCCTCTACTGAGCACACACTCAACAGAATGGGCAGTGTGTGGCGGTTGGCTATCCTGAGCTCCCCAGGGGAACACTTCTGGACTGTTTGGGGCACTTAGGAGGCAACAGGAATAGCTTGCTCCTTAAGTGAGAGGGACAAAAGACTGCTCTTAAAGACAGGCAACCTTCAGCTTCGTAGGGAGGGGCCAGGCGCCTGTAAGAGAAGATTTTATAGACAAGAGACAGCTGTATATTAGCATTTTAATGGAGAGCAATTGTGGAGAAATCTCTCTATCTGGAGAATGTGTATTTGGCTTTTATCCATACCTCTTGACTACTTGTGCTGGTCTTCCAAACCCTGTGGACACCAGTGTAGAGATTAGGCCACTTACACTTTCTTCCAGGTTTTCAGTTTCCCACATGACACAACACTTGGCCCTGCTGACAAACTCACATGCCTGTCAGCCAGCAGGCTGGCCATCTGAGCCCACCCGGGGGCTTCGAGGGACAGGCCTGGCCATCTGCTTCCCCACAGGTCACAGCTCTGTAACCCAAGAGGACACAGTTCCCTCTCTTACCCAGGGTAGCTGCAAGTCACGGGTGTTATTACCAAAGGAGACAGATTAAGAGGATGTTTGTTGTTCAGAGTAAACAAGGCTTTCCCAGAAAAACAAAACCTTAGCCAAATCCCAAGGCGACACTATTCCTCCCAGGGAGGTGGGAGATGGGCCTGGTGGGGGTGGTCTTGGTGAGGGGCTGGGCTGTCATTGTTGTGTGCTTCCCTCCCTGGGCACCTACAGCCGGAGCTCCTGGACATGTACACTGTGAACCTACATCGTATCGAGAAGGACGTGCAACGGTGTGACCGAAACTACGGGTACTTCACGCCGGCCAACCTGGAGAAGCTGCGCAACATCATGTGCAGGTGCCTGGGGGGCGGGGAGACTACACCCCGGAACCTGGCTTCCATTCACACGGTAACACTGTAACCATAGTGAGAATGATGGTAGCCAAAGCAACAAGCCCACCGCCACCCTGGGGGGTTTCTAAGGTCTTCATGGAAGCAGGCAGCCTCATCCTTTTCTCCTGGTGCTCCTAATGGGTTTGACCTGTTGATCTTTTGGTTAGCTGAGCTCCTAGGTGCTGTGCCACCATAGCTCCTTTCAGGAATTTCACATCTCTTGTTTGCTCAGGCCATCCCATCTCATAGCAACCCTGTAGGACAGAGGATAGAACTGCCCTATAGAATTTCTAAGGCTATAGATCTTTATGAAAACAGAATGCCACATCTTTCCCCTGCAGAGCAGCTTGAACCAGTGACCAGCCCATTAGCAGCTACGTGTTTTAAACATTGTGCCATTGGGGCCCCTGTCAAGGATACAGACCCAAGCCAACCCATTGCCATCACACTAATTCCAACCCGTAGCAACCCTATATAGGGTTTTCGAGGCTCCAAATCTTTATGGGAGCAACAGCCTCATTTTTCTCCTTTGGAGCAGCTGGTGGGTTTGAACCACTAGCCTTGTGGTTAGCAGCCCTATGCTTATCCAACTGCACTACCAAGGCCTCCCTGAGGTGCTATTACTCAGAGACAGATGAGAGTTCCAGAAAGGGAATTGTGCAAAATGACTATTTCAGTGCGCCTGGAGATGAAAGAGGTGCTGGGGAGTGAGGTAAGGCTGTAAAGACAGACTTGGAGGAGACTGTGAATGGCCTTGGTAACCCAGTAGATGAGTTTGGGCAGCCATCGGGGAGCCGATGAAGGTTCTAGAAGGTTGCAGGTGACCTCCTTGAGCTGGGCATTAGGAAGGGCCTGCTCATGGCTGCACGTGGGATACTTGACCGGAGTGAGATTGGTGATGGAGATGCAGCTGGAGGCTGAAGGAGTGGTCCATCTGTGGGATGGATGAAAGATCCCAACCAGAGTGGGGGGCGGAGAAGGGAGGGCTGAGGAGTAAACTATGGGCAGCATCACTGGCCCCCTTTGTCTTCTCTTGTAGCTACATCTGGCAGCACATTGAAATTGGCTATGTCCAGGGCATGTGTGACCTTCTGGCTCCACTGCTGGTCATCCTGGATGATGGTGAGTGTGTCCTCCCTACCCCAGTGTCCTGCCTACTCTGCGAGGAAGGGACTAGCCACACTCTGGGATTCCATTGAATAAGGTGGGACAGACACTCAGAAGACCTCTCTGGGGAACGCATCAAAAAGTCCTTGTATTCCATTTTGCCCTACATGTGTGTCCAGGCACCCAGCCTCCAGCCAGGCCTTGGGTAGCCACAGAAAGGATAAAGATGGATGAGAACAAGTCCACAAAGACGATGTTCCACAATGTGAGAAGCTGCTGGTGTCTGAGAAGTTGGTGAGCAGCATCTGAGGCACAACTATTGGTCTCTCCCTGTCTGGAGAAGGCCAGAGAGAACCCATGTGTGGGAGTGATGGTGCTGAGGAAGAATATGGAGAGTACCATGGACAACCAAAAGACCAGACAGATCTGTCTTGGAAGAAGTATAACCAGAATGATTGTTAGAAACAAGGATGGTGAGTTGTCTTACATCCTTCGGACATGTTGTCGGGATAGGCCAGTCCCTGGAGAAGGACACCATGCTTGGAAAAGGAGAAAGGCAACAAAAAAGGGGAAGGCCTTCCACAAGATGGATTGGCACCGTGGCTGCAACAATGAGCTCCATCATAACAATTATGAGGATGGCACAGAGCTGGGTAGTGTCTCATTCTGGTGTACCTAAAGGGTCTCTCTGAGTAGTCACCTAACAACAACGTCTCATTCTGGTGTACCTAAAGGGTCTCTCTGAGTAGTCACCTAACAGCAACGTCTGGAGCAAAGAAGAAGGAGGGAAACAGAATGAAGAGACATAGAAATAATGAGTCTAGAGGACTGATAAACCATATGAGCCTTGATGTCTATGTCTCAGAGATCTGGAAGAACTAGATGGTGCCAAGCTACCATTACAGGTCTCTTTAAAAGGTCCTGGATAGAGTGGGAGCAAAATAAGAAACAAAACTGAAAATCGTAGATAGGAGCAGGCTTATGGGTCAGAGCAAGACTAGTGGAACCTTAGCCTTCAGCCACCCTTTCAACCCCAAACAAACCGAACTCACGGCTATCTAGTCAAGCTGACTCATAGTGACCCTATGGTGCGGGGAAACAGAAAGATTTCTCCCAAATTGTCTCCCTCAAGTAGATGTTAGACTTAGGACACTGCTTGCAGCTAACGGTAAATGATTGTCAAGTTACTTCCGTTAAGGCAGTCAGCTGCCAGACTACTGTCTCGCCCCACCACAGGTAGGCCTGCTCCCTGCTGCTAAGGACAATGGGCTACTTCTCCCTAAAGGCTTGCAGTCATGGATTTGGTTCCTGTGGGTGGAGTTCACACCCTACTGATAATGGTTTCTATGGTTGAGGGACAGTTTTCAGGCAAACAAGAGGCAGTTCTCAAAAGGGAACAATAACCCCAGGGAAGTATGTACTCTTTAGAAAAGGCAACCACTTGAATTAAAAAAGGCCGCATTTGCTCAAGGACAAAATTCAGAAGGACAGAGGAGTGGAAATGAGAAATGCAGGAAGTGGGAAATATGAGGTTACATTGTGGTGATGGCAATCAATGATATGAAACAAAATGTGTCTGAATCATTGAATGGAAAATTGATGATCTCTGTAAACCTTCACCTAATTCACAATAGAAACTGAATAGAGAGAAGAAAAATGATGAATGAGAAGAAAGGAAATCCCAAATCCAGAAGGTGCCACTGGTGAATTCTACCAAATGTTTGAAGAAGAATTACTATCAATTCTTATTAAATATTTTCTAAAAACAGAAGGGGAGGAGAACATTCCGACCCATCCTATAAAGCCACTATTACCCAGACACCAAAATATGGTAAAATCATCAAAAACCAAAAAGCTATAAATCAATGTTTTTTATGAATATAGGTGTAAAAATCCTCCACAAGATACTAGAAAGTCGAGTTTGACACGCATGAAATAATTTTACACCACAATCCTATGTATGACAGCATAAAACCCCAAGCCAAGCCCACTGCAGTGCAGTTGGTTCTGACTCGTGGTCCTTATGGCACCAAGTAGAACAGCTCCAGGGGTTCTGGAACTGTGAGAACAAACACATCTGTCTTGGGAGAAGTCCAGCCAGAAGACTCCTTAGAGCAGTGGTTCTCAACCTGTGGGTCATGACCCCTCTGGTGAGACCGGCCCTTCCACAGGAGTTGCCTAGGACCATCAGAAAACATATTTCCAATGGTCTTAGGAACCAAGACACCACTCCTCTATCCGTCTCCAGGCGGTTCTCCCCACATGCAGATGCACCCACCTATGAGTACCTGGCATGAAGACTGTTACTTACCCATGCTACACCATGCTTCAAGACAAAATGTCATTGATTTGCCATTAGAAAGAAATATTTCACAATATATAATTGCATATTGTTCTTGTGATTGATCACTGTGCTTTAATTATGTTCAATTTTTCTTTAAGCAAAAGGGAAGAAATTCATTGGAGCCCACATGGGAAACCCTAGAGGGGCCCAGCATACCCCACTATGTAGGCATGCCCAGCAAAGGGTCACACCATTCACTGCACCCCCATGTCCCAGAGGGACGCCCCTCGAGCTGAGCCCCAAAACCCCAGGACTGGCTGGGAGTGGGGACAATTATGTTCACTTTGTAAAATGAAAATACATCCTGCATATCAGATATTTACATGATGATTCATAACAGTAGCAAAATACAGTTATGAAGTAGCAACAAAAATAATTTTATGGTTGAGGGTCACCACAACATGGGAAACTGTACTGAAGGGTCGTGGCATTAGGAAGGTGAAGAACCACAGCCTTAGAGGCAAGATGGTGAGCCTTCATCTCACGTGTTTGGACATGCAGCCAGGAGAGACCAGTCCCTGGAGCAGGACATCATGCTTGGTAAAGTAGCGGGATGGTATAAAAGAAGACGTCTCTTGATGAGATGGATTGATACAATGGCTGCAACAGCGGCTCAAACATAACAATTATTAGGGACCATGCAGTATTAAGTTCTGTTGGACACAGGGTTGTTATGAGTTGGAACTGATTTAGCAGTATCTAACAACAACAACAACAACAAATCTCTATGGAAACAGGCTGCTTCCACTTTCTCCTGTGGAACAGCTAGGCTATTCGCCAGAAGTCAGACTGCCTACTTTTAGCCCAGGTGCCCACTTTACCCACTAGCTCTCCAAGGCTTCTTATCAAAGTGTTATTCTCAGGAATGTAAGAGTGATTTAACATTCGAAGATCAGGGTAATACGTCATGTTACTAGAATAAAGAACAAAAAGTATGGGATCATCTCACAGACACAGATATAGCATTTGGCAAAACACAACATCCTTTCAAGCACTGGAAGCACACATGTTGGTGTCCATTCCAGAGAAAGGTGCCCCAACAGAAAGCAGAAATTATCGAACAATATCGTTACTATCATATGAGAATAAAATTATGCTGGAGATAATTTAACAAATTGCGGCAATATCTGGATGGGGAGCTAATAGCTAGGTTCAGAAGAGATGTGGCATGAGGGATATCATTGCTAACGTCAGATGGATCTTGACTGAAAGAAGAGACTACCAGAAAGATGTTTACTTGTGTTTTGTTGACCATGCAAGATCATGTGATTGTGTAGATCATAACAAACACTGGACATTGAGAAGAATGGAGCTTCCAGAACACTTCGTTGCACTCATGCGAGACCTGCGCATGGATCAAAAAGCAGTTGTTTGAACAGAATAAGGAAATGCCATGTTGTTTAAAACCAGGAAAGGTGTGTGTCAGAATTGTATCCTTTCCGTGTACTTATTCAATCTGTATGCTGAGCAGTTAATCCCAGAAGCTGGACTATATGGAAAGAATGTGGCATGAAGATTGGAGGAAGGTTTAGGAACAGCCTGCAATGTGCAGATGACACCGTCTTGCTTGTTGAAAGCCAAGAGGCCTTGGAGCACGTGGTGATGAGGATCAGGGGCTGCAGCCTTCGGCATGGCTTATAGCTCTGTAAAGAAAGCCCACACAACTGGACTGATAGACAACATCATGAGAAATGGAGAAGAGTGGTGTTAGCAAGGATTTCCTTTGCTGGGATCTACAATCATTGTTCATGGAAGCAACCATCAAGACCAACTGACACACCACATTGCCACAAGACCTCTGCAAAATATTAATAAGTGAAAAATGAAGCTTTCTGCTGCTGTAAAGAATTACAGTCTCAGAAACCCACAGAGGTAGTTCTACCTGTCCTAGAGGGTCGCTTCGATTTGGAGCAGACTCTATGGCAGTGGGTTTGTTTTTGAAATGATGTAAGTGAGGCAGAATTAGAGTTCTATTAGTGAGGTTGGATACGATCTACAGATCTAGGCTTGATCTTGAGTCAGTATCTTTTGAGAAACAAAAGACATTAAACAACCGAGCAGAGATCAGAGGGATCTCAGAGGAATACCACCAAGGAAGATGAAGTGGGAGCTGAGAACATCCTTTGGATCCAGCATCCCTTTGTCCAGAACCTCTGAGATGCAGGTGATGATGATGGCAAGGCACCTGCAGATGTCCAGGGGATGCCAAGCCTACAAAGGTTGAACAGAGATGAGGAACTTACCCAAAAGGCAACAGTGAGTGAAAGCTGACGCCCTGAATTCAGACTTCCTAAAATTTTGAGAAAATAAATTTCTGTTGACCAGTCACCCTCTTGTGGTATTTCTGTTCTAGCAGCCCAAGATAACTAAGAAACACCATTGTATGTGTTTTTCTCATTCTGTCATAGGGTTTACAAAATTTTTTTTACAAAAACCTTAGCATTAGATACTGGCTTGAAGGCGCTGTTGCCCTTGGGCAGTGGCACAGCTGACCATTTCTCTCCTGTCCTTCCTCCCCAGAGGCTCTTGCCTTCAGCTGTTTCTCAGAGCTAATGAAGAGAATGAACCAGAACTTCCCCCATGGAGGTGCCATGGATACACATTTTGCCAACATGAGGTCACTGATCCAGGTAGGACTCCATAGCTACTCTTCACTTGGACTTCCCGGAAAGTGGTCCACAGAGCTTAGTGCTGTGAGATTGTATCGTTTGGAGCCTACCTGGATTTGAAGCCTCATTCTGCTACTCCCCCCACCCCTCCACCCCAAACAAAACCAAACCAAGAAAACACCCCAAAACCAAATAATCCCCATTGCTATCCACAATTCCAACACAGGGTGGCTGCATGTGTTAACAAAACAGAACTGCTCCATGGGGTTTGTCAACTGCAAGAAACTCCATCTGGCTGGTAACCAGAGTTGGCAGTTAAACACACCCAGTGGCTGTGTGCAAGAAGAGCTCGGGATCTGTCCCCACAGAGATGACGGTGGTGGTGAAGAAAACTTCACAGGGCGTTCTGTAACCTAGAGGGTCACATGAGCCAGGATCAACTCCACCACCCAAGAGGACGACCAGATCTTTACAGAAACTGATCACCAGCTCTTCCTGCTGCCGCACTGCTGGGTGGGTGCCACTGCCAGCCTGGAGGTTCAGTGGGATCTGCAGAGTTCTACTCACCATGTCTGTTAGATTTGGGAAAGGAAGGCGAGCTCACTTCGGGCACACGGAATGAACACGGCCACTTGAGATGCAAAAGCGGCAAAAGGAGTTTATTTGCAAGCTCGAGCTGGGACTTTCCTCCCTCCGCTACCCGGCGCAGCGGGGACCCAGCGTCCAAAAGGGAATTGGCCCGAGTGCTTTGGTAGCCTAGCTCTTATAGGGTGAGGGAACCGGGGAAGGTCCTATGTCGTTGTTCCTTGAGTTCATTGGAGGAGCTTCTGGCGCCAGCGATGTCCAGCGGTGGTTGGTGAATAGTTTCGCGCGTGCCTCCCCGATTGGTCAATCGGTGGCGGGTTGTTGCTTGAATTCCACTGGTTAGTTCGCAGTCAGGTGATGCGTCCCATTGGTCAGTTTGAAACAGGCGATGTCTCATCCGGCAGAGTTGCCTCAGTGACCAGGAACCTGAAACTGAAACTTAGGCCTACTCCAGACTTTGGTTTTATACAGCCTGTCATGGCGCTGGTGCTGGCAGTTGTAAACCTGGACCCCACATTCCCCCCTTTTTATGTTGTAACTATTTGGAGTAACCATACTCCAATCTGATTTGGCAATAAGCAGGTGTACAGAAGCGAGAAATTAGCAGGTTACATTAGATTTACCCTGGTTTAGGGGTGGTTTGTATGAAAACAGCACTTTTCCCCCAGTGTCATGCAAAGCCCCCCCCCCCCACCCTTTTGATGTTTTTACAAGCACTCTTGCTCGAAAGTGGTGTTCTGTACCTCTTCCATTACAAGACAGGGGTCAGGATTCAGCCTGTGGTACTGTTGTTGTAGTACCATCAACTGGACAGTATTGACGCATTCTTTTACAAAAACAATTAATTTGTTTACAATACATGGTCCAAAAGTGAGAATGAGCACAAGTACAATTAGGGGTCTCAACAAAGTAGAGAGCAAGGTGGGAAACCAAGGCGAGTTATTAAACCATGATTTAAACCATCCCTCCTTTTGTTCACGTTCTCGTCTCAGTCTGGCCAATCCTTCCCTGACTTTAGCCATGGACTCCCTTACCACCCCAGTGTGGTCGGCATAAAAACAGCATTCTTCCCCAAGACTGCACACAGCCCTCCTTGCTGGAGGAACACTAGGCTAGTCCCCTGCGATTCTGCAACACTACCTCGGAGAGTTAGGTTAGTGACTTTTCTAAATGGGAGATAGATTCTTTTATTCTAGCTATATCTTCGTCTATGGCTGCCCTTAAACTATTAAATCCCTGGTGCTGTGCTGCTAAGGATGAGATGCCGGTTCCTGCTCCTATTGCACCAAGGCTAAAAAGGGTGGCTAAGGTTACTGCCGTGAAGGGTTCTTGCTTCCCCCGGTCAGCTCGGTACCCTCCATACCCCTTGTCCATGCGTCATACGTCACTTTTTCTTGATGGTAAACAACTTTTGGGAATGTTATCACCATGATGCAGAACTTTATTGATTCATTAAAGACAGGTAGGCTAAGGCATGGAGTCAGTCCAGTTTTAGAGCATACCCACCACCCATTGAGCGCCGGAACTATCCATTTTATCCCACCACTTGTATTTACAGAAGGGAAGATATCAGCGCAGAACTGAGCATGGCTAGACGGCACCTTTCCTATGCAAGTTCCATTTCCAGTGACTGCCTGGAGTGTCAGTCCTGGGCCTTTACGGTCCCATCTGCAGGACCCGGGGACCTCTGCGTTTAACAGGTTGAAAGGGGCAGCTATCCCTACTGCCTCATAGAATGGGGGTCTGATATCATAGCATAGCCAACAGGCCTCAGTAGCACTGGGGTTAGTGTGCTTTAAGGTTTCGTGTGCTGCTGTTAGCATCTTCTATAGAGGATCCCTAGCTCATACACTTTAGGGGCTATTTGAGTTTCCATTTCTACCACCAGGGTTTTAGGGTTTAAGGATGGGGCAACAGTTAGGCAAGAGTGTTTTTGTTCTTGCTGTCACCCTCCCAGTACCGGATTTGGTCCTATGACCCCCGTGGCGGGGGAAATTTTTCGCTTTAATTGTATTATGGTGCCAAATAATGGGCTTTGATAAAGATATATTCCCCAGGAAAGTCCTGAAACCCATCGTTTGTCCCTTTTTCCTTCCTCTGTGAACTTTACACGTATTAGGTTACAGTCAGAAGCATACCTGGTCCGTGAACATGGCCGGACATAAGACATTGCAATGAAAAGAGATTTTACCTGCCATTTCCATTCCCCATCGTTGGTGGTGACACATTTCCAAGCTGCCCAATAAAGAGACTCAATTCCCCCACATTCACGCCTCATTTTCCCAGTCCTGAACCCTGGACATGCATAAAACCCGTTTTTACTCATTGATACCCACCTTTGTATCTTTCTCCATGATCCCCCTTCCATTTCTTCTAAAGGACTAATTTTTTCTAGGTTAAAGTACAGGTCTGGCCACCAGGTGTGCACTGGGGCCAATCTCGAGGTCCTATTATAAACTTCCTGAGTGTCTAAATTAGTGATTTCCCAGGTAAGGTTGTATGGTGTGTGAGGATTCGAGTTAGTCATTACCTCTCCTATAAAGGTTATAAATGCAAAGGTAATTATCAGCACTCATGTTCTTGGTGTTCTCATTATGTGTCTGGCAGTGTTCAGGTGGTCACGCGAGTCAATTTGGTCTTCAGCGGGCTCTCTGGGTTGGACGATGCCTTCCACCGGTTTTGCTGTTGCTCCTGTTTGTTCTCACTGGTGGGTCGTACATGGGAGCGGTGAATCCAGGTCGCCACTCCTTCTACTTTTAAGGCTGTGGGAGAAGTTAAAACAATTTGATAAGGCCCCTTTCATTTGGTTTCCAGATTTTTGCTATGGAACCTTCGAACGTTCGACCAAACCCAATCCCCAGGCAAATGCTGATGTTGACTTCCAGCTGCATTGGCCTGCTCAATGGCATTTTGGTAAACAGCCTGAATGGCGGGACAAACATTGGCCTGTACCCTCTGCACGGCTTGCATAGCCCCTAATATCTCAGCAGGCCCTGCATAGGGCGGATTGAACGCTCTAGGGATAATGGGGGGTTGGGGGGGTGGTTTACCACACACAATCTCAAAAGGTATTAATCCAAGAATGTAGGGGGAATTCCGCACATGGAATATAGCAAACGGCAGGAGAGTCACCCAGTTTTTGCCAGTCTCGGAGGCCAATTTGGTCAAAGTCTCCTTCAAAGTTCTGTTCATTCTTTCTACTTGCCCAGAGCTTTGCGGATTGTATGCACAATGCAGTTTCCAGTTTGTCCCCAAGGCTCGGGCCAAATTTTGAACGACCTCGCTTACAAAAGTGGGTCCATTATCAGATCCAATTGTTTGAGGCATTCCATATCTAGGTACTATTTCTTCCAACACTTTCTTAGCTACTACCAGAGCTGTTTCCTTCTTGGTTGGGAAAGCCTCCACCCACCCTGAAAAAGTATCTATGAAGACTAACAAATACCTGTAACCATATTTTCCTGGTTGGATCTCAGTAAAATTTACCTCCTAACTTAACCCAGGTTGCTTACCTTTTTCTCTAGCCCCCTGAAGCACATTCACTATTTTACCTGGTTTCATTTCCTGGCAGACACGGCATTGGCTCACCAGCTGCTCTGCAGTTTGTCCTTGGCCTTTGAACTGCAGTTTGCAATAACTAGCATTTTTTTCTTCCCCCAATGAGTGGTGCTGTGCAGGTTGTATAGTATTTGCTGTCCCACCTCAGTAGGAAGGATAAGATTGTCCTGGGCCTTTAGCCAGGGAGAGTCCTCTTCAGGCAGGACCTGTAACTTTTGTTTGGCCCATTGTTCTTCTTCAGTAGTGTAACTGGCCACACTTGGAATGGATCCCATTCCTGGAGGAGAGAACTGAACAAGGCATACCTGCTCACCTGGACTTCAGGTTCGCTTTCCTCCTTCCTTTGGACCACAGCCTTTCTTGCCTCCTCATCTGCGGCGCGATTGCCCTTAGCTTCCATAGAGTTGTCCCTTTGATGTCCTGGCATGTGCACAAGCACCACAGCTTTTGGCAGGGCCACAGCTTCCAGTAGCTGCCACACCTCAGTTTTATTCTTTATTTCTTTTCCTTCCGCGGTGATGAATCCTCTTTCTTTATATAGAGTCCCGGTAATATGCAAAGTTCCCAAAGCATACCTGCTGTCTGTGAATACCGTCAACTTCTTGCCTTCTGCCAGCTGTAGGGCTTTTGTGAGCGCAATGAGCTCGGCTTTCTGGGCAGATGTTCCAGTGGGAAGACATTCAGCCCACACCACTTGTCCCCCTGCTGTAACAGCTGCTGCCCCTGCATACCTTTTTCCATCCTGCACAAAGCTGCTGCCGTCCGTGAACCACACCAATTAACTGTTGGGAAGAGGCCTATTGGTTAGGTCTCTCCTGGGCAAGTGGATTTCTGCCAAAATATCAGCACAGCCGTGTTCCACAGGGCCTGCTTCTGGG